TAACAGGTACACACCTGAGTCACTAACAGGTACACACCTGGGTCACTGACAGGTACACACCTGGCTCACTAACAGGAACACATCTGAGTCACTAACAGGTTCACATTTGGTCACTAACAGGAATAAATTGGTCACTGACTGGTACACACCTGGGTCAGTAATAGGTACACACCTGAGTCACTAACAGGTACACACCTGGGTCACTAACAGGTACACACCTAGGTCACTGACAGGTACACACCTGGGTCACTGACATGTACACACCTGGGTCACTGACATGTACACACCTGGGTCACTGACATGTACACACCTGGGTCACTAACATGTACACATCTTAGTCACTAACAGGTACACACCTGAGTCACTAACAGGTTCACATCTGGTCACTGACTGGTACACACCTGGGTCAGTAATAGGTACACACCTGAGTCACTAAGAGGTACACACCTGGATCACTGACAGGTACACACCTGGGTCACTGACAGGTACACACCTGGGTCACTAACAGGTACACATCTTAATCACTAACAGGTACACACCTGAGTCACTAACAGGTTCACATCTGGTCACTAACAGGAACACATTGGTCACTGACTGGTACACACCTGGGTCAGTAATATGTACACACCTGAGTCAATAACAGGTACACACCTGGGTCACTGACATGTACACACCTGGGTCACTAACAGGAACACACCTAGGACACTAACAGGAACACACCTGGGTCATTGACAGGTACACACCTGGGTCACTAACAAGTACACACCTGGGTCACTAACAAGTACACACCTGGGACATTAACAGGAACACACCTGGGTCACTGACAGGTACACACCTCAGTCACTTTCAAGTACACACCTGGGACACTAACAGGAACACACCTGGGTCACTGACAGATACACACCTGGGTCACTAACAGGTACACACCTGAGGGACTAACAAGTACACACCTGAGTCACTTACAAGTACACACCTGGGACACTAACAGGAACACACCTGGGACACTAACAGGAACACACCAGGGTCACTGACAGGTACACACCTGAGTCACTTACAAGTACACAACTGAGTCACTTACAAGTACACACCTGGGACACTGACAGGTACACACCTGGGTCACTGACAGGTACACACCTGAGGGACTAACAAGTACACACCTGAGTCACTTACAAGTACACACCTGGGACACTAACAGGAACACACCTGGGTAACTGACAGGTACACACCTGGGTCACTAACAAGTACACACCTGAGGGACTAACAAGTACACACCTGGGTCACTAACAAGTACACACCTGGGTCACTAACAAGTACACACCTGAGTCACTTACAAGTACACACCTGGGTCACTGACAGGTACACACCTGGGTCACTAA